CCCCAAAACCCCAAAACCCCAAAACCCCTCTATGAAGAGAAAATAACAATGGCGGAGATTTTTTAAATGACAAATTAAGAGTAAGTTTAATTCAATATTTAGCAAACTGGCCAGAAAACTGTAAATTTTGCTAATTAACTTGTGAGTGGTTGATTGAGGATTCTTCTATGAACCTTTTTACTTCCTTATATGCATTTGCAACTTCCTATTTGCTTGATCCCTCTATATAAAGATGTAGTTTTCTCTAGCCTGTAGGAGGCTTTCTACCAAATTCAAAGAATTGACCCTTGATGAGAATTTTGCATCCAGTCATTTCAAAAATTTATTACTAGAAGTCTTTGCTTTATGCTTTAGTTCTGGCTTACTAAGGATAGTCATTAATTTCTAACTCAGCTGTGAATATATTATTCTTTTCGTTTTCTTTCTCAACGAATTAGTCTCTAATACTCAAAGCACTTTCTAGTCCTTTTTCCATTGTTACAGTGGTAGGTCTATACTAACTCAACACATATAACATGGCTTCTTTAGCTACTTTGGTTGCTTCATCATGAGATAATCCTTATTTAATAGCATTTTTACTTGCTTAGTTTCCTGCTTCAATAGCTGCTTTACGGGCATTGGGATCTCTCTCTAATAAGTAGTGCAAATGCTATTCCTCTTATTTTTATCTTTCGTCCTCTTTTGTACTATTATTTTTCACAATTTCTTCGCCGGCTTCTTCTCCATCATCATCGCCACCACCTCCATAAGCTTTAGAGAGTTCTTTCCTGAAATCTTTAACTTTGTTTCTCTCTTTTTCATTAAATTCAAAGCCTTTGCCTACATAACCTTAGTTGGCTTTCTTCTTTTCAATATCACCTTCTTGAACTCTTTGTTAATATAGTTCTTCTAGTTTTTTCAAATTATCTGGCACTATATTACCAGAATTTTCAAGAGCTCTTATCAAATCAGAGGCATATTGGCATTCATCTTAAGTAATAAAAGTATAAGCAGTACCTTTATTTCCAGCTCTACCAGTACGTCCCACTCTGTGAACGTAATCCTCTGTATGATTAGGGCAAATGTAATTAATTACAAGACGAAGATGCTTAATATCTAAGCCTCTAGCACAAACACTAGTAGCTACCATAATATTTCTCACTCTATCTTTAAAATCCTAGATAGTAAATTCTCTATCAGTTTGATCTTACCCTCCATGAAGAACTAAAGCCTTATAACCAACTTTATAAAGTTCTTTAAACAGCTCATCAGCCTCAATTTATTTGTCAACAAAAATAAGGATACTACCCTTCTCATACCATTCCCCTAGAAGTTCCATTAGCTTCCAAAATTTATCCTCAGGATTGAGCACTTCTACAAACTACTCAACGTTTGCACAAGTTTAACCTCTGTTTCCAACAACAATTTCAACTGGTGAAACTAGACATTTCTTAGCCAAGCTTTCTATTTATCTTGGAAAAGTAGCAGAAAACATTACACATTGTTTATCTGGCCTAGCATTTTACATGACTCTGGAAATTTATGGCTCAAATCCCATATCAAGCATTCTGTCAGCTTCATCAAGGACTATATAGCTACATCTTTTAAGGTTTGTAATCTTTCCATTAGAGGTAGTTAATACATCAATCATTCTCCCTGGAGTACAAACGACTACTTCTGCTCCTCTCTTTAGTTCTGAAAGTTAGCCAGCAACATTAGCTCCACCATAAACACAAACAACTCTTAGACCGCAAGCCTTTGCGAAAGATTTCGATTCTTTATATATTTAGAAAGCTAATTCTCTTGTTGGAGCCATTACAAGACCGATCATTCCTTCACCTTCTTAAATTGGCTTTTAATCTCTAATGTGCCTAATCATAGGTAAAACATAAGCCAATGTTTTGCCACTTCCAGTTTCAGCAATACCAATAACATCTCTTCCACTCATGATAGCAGGAATAGCTTAGCATTAGATAGGAAATGGCTTTTAAAATTATTTCTTCTCAATAACTTCAATAACTTTATCAGGAAGTCCACATTGATACCAGTTATTAATAGGCTTTGGACATTTTAAGCCTCTTACTTTGATGTCTCCATTTAATTTTCTGAACTCTTAGATTTCTTTATCAGTCATATTTGCAATCTCTTTTGTTTCAATGTAAAGGTTCTTAGTTAGCTTATCATATTCTTCCTATTCATGATCGACTGCTTTCAAATCTTTTCTTTCAGCCTTTCTTTTTTCTTTCTCAAGATAAGACTCTGCTTCTTCCTCAACCTTTTCAAAATCCATAATATATTTATCGTCTTCATCATTGAAAATAACTTAGTTGCTTTCTTGCTTTAACTTTTCCATGAGGTCTTTCCTTTTAAGTTCTCTCATGAATTGCGAGTAAAATTCATCATTGTCCTCTTAAGTTTCTTAAACAGAATTTCCATCATCATAATTCATGATATCATCCATAGTTACTATATTTTTTGGCTTATTTTCCTCTTCTTAAACTTCCTCTTCCTCGTCTTCCATATTATCATCGTATCCGAAATCTTCCTCTTCATATTCGGGCTCATTTGGATGTCTAATATTTTATTGTGCTACAGCATCTTTTTCTATTTATTTCATATAAGCATCAAATGGATCATCTTCTTCTTCCTATTATTAAGCAGGTGCAGCTGTGAATCTATGATTTACTAATGCTCCTGCTTTAAAGATAGTGGGCTTATCATCATTCTTTTCAAATATACTACTTGATTTTTAAAGTTTGCTTTCCTTTTAAATGCCTATGTTAAAGAGATTTTTCTTTTAATCCTCGACAATTTAACCTTCTTCTTCCTCATCTTCAACAATAAGGTTATTATGATTTCCATGGCCATTTCCATTTTTAATACCTTCAAATATTACTTAAAACTTTCCCTTTTAGTGTGGCTGCTGCTATTTATTTGGGATTAAATACTCACTTTTATTGATAATTTTGATTTCTTTTTCTAGATTCTAAAGAATTGGTTTGGAATTATCTTACTTATTTTGATCATCAATCTTAGATTCTTATCCATCTACTTCTGGATTAACCTACTCTGAAATAGTATTGACTTCATCAGTTTTAATGCTGGTGGTATTTTGATCTTTGATTTCTGATTACTTTGAAACATCCTGAGACTACTAATGATTAGTCAGATCAAGGCTTAAACCTTAATTTTCAGTTTAATTTTATGGATTGATTTCAACAAAGTCAGTTTCTATTTCAGGCATGTCTAAATCATCATCGATATTTCTTCGACTATTTTCTTCTAGATTTGAAGCAGCGATAGATGCGAGTAGTCTCGCCTTTGCAAGTCTTGCTTTCATTTACCTTTATTCTTCTTTTTCAAGAGACTTTCTAGATTTTTTCTTATCCTTTTTACTCTTTTTGTCTTTCTTCGATTTTTTATGATTGCGGTAGTCATCATAACTAGAACTTCTTGATCGACTATAGCTTTCATTGCTTCTTCTGCGACTCCTATCTCTTCTATCTCTATCTCTGTTTCTGTGTCCATTTCTGTCTTTACTTCTACTTCTAGATTTCTTAGATTTTTTATCTTTTTTTACTGATGAAGATTTGTGTCGACTTTTACCCTTGCTGTCATCACTTTCAGACCTATGATGTCTGCTATCTTAATGTCTTTTGCTGCTGACTTCTTGCTTATCAATACCCCTAGAAGAATTCTATGTCCCAACAGTTAATAAATCATATTAATCGATTCTTTAGTTTGGTTTATGACTTACATCTATGAGTTCCTTTTTATCAGTTCTATTAGATGAGCTCTTATTTTTTGAGTTTCCTTCCGACATTTAAATTTATAATTATAAATTTTAATTATTAGCTCAATAATAGGAAACAGGGGTTTTGGGGTTTTGGGGTTTTGGGG